GTGATCACATGGATGGTATATACATACATACATACATACATATATATATATATATATATATATATATATATATATATATTACATCTAGGTGATCCTAATGCTGTTCACGCTTTATTACAATGCAGCTGGAGCTGAAAGCCAGGGAGCGAACTCCAGAAACGGAAGCTGCCCGACGTGCGGAGAAAGAGCGGCGGATTGCGGAGGCCATCCGCGAATTCCAACCACCTCCCGTCGTTCCTGTTCATCCGGTGCCTACATCAGAGGCTGAACGAACAGTGGTGGACAGTGGTGTGACTGAAAAGACAATGAGCTCTATACCTTCCACACCCAAACGTGGGCGCGAAAGTCGCGATTCTGGTCGACCGGCAGCACGCGATTTCGAGGGTATGCTGAACCGGAAACATGAATGGCAAAGTGGTGGCAAAAAGGCTCCTTCACGTTCGTGGCATGAGCTTTACTTCATTCTCTCCGCCTCTGCTGGTACCCTTTCCGCATACAAGGAACAACGTATTGCTAAAGAGAAACCCAGTGAACTTTACCGACACGAAGCTCCTGTCAGTTTGGCTGGGGCATCTGCCGCACCCGCGTTCAACTATGCCAAACGTCGCTTTGTGTTCCGCTTGAAATTAGCTAACGGAGGCGAAACCTTATTCCAAGCGCGCTCAGAAGAAGCCATGCACGAATGGGTGCAGGTATTGAACGCCGTGATTGCTACTCTACCCGCCGAAGCCGTCGAGTCTGTTTCTGGACCGGGTGGACGGGCTGCTACACTTCCTTCGGGCGCCGCTCCGGAATCCCACACAGCGAGCAGCAGTTCTGCGGTACCAGGGAAGAAGAAGTTCTTCACATTGGGCCGAAAGAAATGAGCGCCTAATTGGTTGGTGCACCTCGTCTCAAACTCTGATCCCTGTCCTCGAACAACTTCTATCCCACGGTTCCCGTCCACATTGGCACACACATGGTTAGGTGGGTGTTGTTCTGTCGAATTCCACATTCACGGCTTCACTTTCATCGCTACCCCACACATCTTGCACATTTCTTGGAAATCTTTCAGCTCCCTACCTTCAACCATTATGTGTGCACTTTCTGATTTCTCACCATCGCTTCACCGGTTTTATCCTGGCTTTCACGCATCTTGGCGTACATATTCCCGCAAGACCTGATATCAACTCAACAATCAAGTGCAACCACATTATTGTCTATTTTGGTCGTTCTTTTGTGCGTCAGAACTGCAGTTCTTCGGAACACACGCTGAAATGATGAACAAACACCTTTTGGTGTTGCTTCCCTTCCGGACGCTGATGGACCCTTGGAGCCACATCGCACATAAACGACTATTGACGGGGATCCAATCGAGTAGAGCAGCTTCGGCTCTATTATTGCCCACGCCACGCTGGCCTACTGAACGGGCTTTGTCATCACCTGACGCGCGGAGGAAGAACCTCAAAGACAACCCCGGTGCACTTAAGTGATTTATAGTGCTAGGATCCTGGATTCGCGTCTCCGATAAGCAACAGACGTCAATTCCCAAAGAGTCCATTGT